GCTGATTTTCTTTTACTCATCGGCAACTGTCGCCTATTGTGACACGTGTGCCGTGGGCGGGAATACCTTGTTAGCGTCAAGACGTTTGGCAATTGTATTGCACCTGAATTGCTGCATTCTCGTAAATACCCATGAACATATGTATATACATACATGCTGTATGCATACGTTGCGCGCCACCAAACCATCCACAGTAGTGTTATCACTTGGTCGACCAATTCATCAAGCGGGCAACAATACTCTTGTTTCGCCTGATCGATTGCCCCACCACGGTCGGGCATTCCGCCCAATTGATTTGCTTCGATTGCTCAATCCAAACGCGAACGTTTGTGCTCGTGCCATATTTTCTTTTTAATTCGGATTTCGGTCTTATTGCTGGTGTTGTTACAGTTTACAATGGGTCTCTGTAGCATGCCACCACGAAAATAGCTTCAGTTATTTTTGTGCGCTCCGCGGTTAGTCACAATATCGCGGCGAGGCGAGCATCTTCCATTACTTATTGAAGAGCAGCGCGTAGATTGCTCAACCCTGTGTTGGATTTATCAATTAATTTCTTCAATGATTAGAAGGAAAGTGGGTGCAGACGGCAGCGAGGGAGTTGGCAGCGCGACATTGCAACAAGTTGTTACGTTTTATAGTTACCTTCACAAGATTTGTTTGTCTGGCAAATTTTAATTTTTTTTTTCATTCATTATTTTTTCTTTGTTTGCAATTTATAGTGCTATCTGTAGTCTCAAGTTGAAATTTGTTATCTGACTTCATTATAGTAATCGCATTGTACTNTGTTACGTTTTATAGTTACCTTCACAAGATTTGTTTGTCTGGCAAATTTTAATTTTTTTTTTCATTCATTATTTTTTCTTTGTTTGCAATTTATAGTGCTATCTGTAGTCTCAAGTTGAATTTTGTTATCTGACTTCATTATAGTAATCGCATTGTACTTTTTTTTCTTTTCTTACGCTTTGCTTTAGAAATCAAAATTCAAAGTGAAAATGGCACCAATTAGTGAAAAAAGGTCACAGCCTCCAAATGCGAACCACGTCAAAGAGAATGGGCACACAAGTCAAGGCCATGGTCATACGCATCTTCACACTCACGCGAAGGAGAACGCTAGCAGCAATGCGTCCGGAAAAAGTGCTGGTGTGAAAAGTAAAGGCTTGGAGATATTAGATTTTCATGAATCATGGCTGGAAGAAGTCGAACTGTATAAGGATAAATTGTATGTGCAAAAGAATCTTTTACTATCATCGCATAATCATGCTCATACACCGCATGGCTGCCAAATCGATGCACCTAGCCATTATATTAGTGTGAATAATCAGTATGTGGTTAATGCAACAGCAACACACGGTGGCCATATGCCAAATGAGCACAGTAGTAATAACAATAATTATAGTATTATGAATGGCACGATTGTAAAAAGAAGAGGTGGTAGTGGTGGCACCTCAGTGACGGGATGCACAGTAGATCCATCGATAATTAGCAATGCCTCACATAACAAGTCAAATCGGATTAGTATACGCAGCAACACTGCCGCACCCTTGACGTCCCACGTCGACTCGACCATACCAATGACTGGTGTGCAGGTATGTGTAATTTATAACTATAATTTACTATTCGTTAATGTTTCTAAATTTTATATTCATATGTGCTTGACAAGCATGCTGGATCGATTTGGAAGTGTATAGTTGTAAGAACTTTTATACGAGGAACGACAGGCGCATGTTTGGTATAGATTTATAGATGAAGAAATTGGACCTAAGTCCTGTTAATAGATACATGTAGTATGTAGTAATGCAGCTTTTAAACTCTCGACTATGTTATATAACGTCAGATCGCTAAAATACCCGGTATTTACTTGTTCAATCAGCTCAAATAACAAACCATACATATCAAAATGAGGTGTGCACCACGAATTAATGATCTATTGCACCCTATACTGTTAATACCTCTAAACCTAAATCCATCAGAAAATTCAACAACGCTTTCATTGGTAGGGAGCGAAGGAATGTGCTTAACTCTTGGCAAATTGAACTTAGACCTCACTTATTCTGCACACTGTATCACAATATATAGTGGTGAAAAATCATAATTTTCTCAGATCATTATTTTTCGCTCCAAAAAGAGTTTTATTTTAAATTTGGTTGGCCGCGTACTTGGAATTGGCTACCTAAAGATTCACTTCTTCGTCTTAAAAATAATAAATTGTGGTTCCATCGTCGATCATGCCTTCATCCTGATAGTCCTGATAGTTACAACTAGTCAGTACCTTCCAAATCGATTCATCTTCAAAAATATATTGTCAAATATGTTTTTATTAGAATATATTTACCTAAATTGTGTATTAACAACGTGGTAGTTATTATTTTATATAGTATGTAAAACTAATCCCTTTGTATTTATGTACATGTTCGTATTCTTATTCTTTTCCACCCTTCCAAAAACCAAAACAAAAAAAAATTACTTATACTATGCGTACGGAATTGAACAACCACACAACTCAAATAACTAACGCAAAACACTTCACACGTACACATAAACATAACTACTTATATTCCGGTTGATATTGTGGTTGATATCCTGTCGTGATTTGATGCTGTTGTCGTATTTTCTCCATTGTACCAATGTATTCCGCCTGTTATGTGTGTTTGTATTTATATGCATGTGCTTCCTAACGCTACAGTTGCTTTTAAAGCGACCCCGTGATGAACCGGTTGGAGCGCCAAAATCTGTTGTACATAACTCCAAACGCCATTCCCATCCTCACCCGCCGCATACGCAATCGAATACCAGTCCACGCCGTTCAGCATCACCAGCCAAAAGACTTGGCGGCGGCGGTGGTGGTGGTGTTGGTACTAGCGTAGGAGGTGCCGTTGCTGGTGCTGGTATTGGCAGTGTCGCCTCCGCTGCTGTCAATGGCGTAACTACTACCATTAATGCGAACGATAAGTCCTCCTTCATGCCAACATCCCAGAAAGCGTTAAGTAAAATCATTGTGAATCAGTTCCACGCTAGTAGCCTGCTTAATGATAATGATAAAAAATCGGAGCTGCTTACGCAAAATGGCCTAAACAAGACGGCTGCAACCGCTTATGAGACTAGCGTATATGCCTCACAGTATATGCCGCTCGATAATCGCACTTACCATAATCGTCATCCAATTGTGGATAATTCTACTTATGTGGGCGTTTCTTTAGCTAAAGGTGGCGATGGTGATCGCGCAAAGCGCAGCAGTACACCCGAGGATGATCCATGTGCAGGTAAAGAATCGCCCCGATAATCTTAATGTCAATTAGAAAGATATTTTACAGTTTTTCTATTAACTTTTTTAGCAATCGATGTTATCAATGATTATTCAGATAGTGATTCGGATGAAGAATATACTGGATTTCCATTCTACCTAGCCAACGATTTAAATGAGATACACCAAAGTCAACATATACGCTTTCAGCGTGAACGACAATCTAACGATAGCACCGAAGATAGTGAAGCCGATACCGAAGCGAGTAAATATTTCAAACCGAAATGTATATTATCGCCAAGCATATTTCCCAATGTTCCGCCTTATTTGAACTTCTCATCGCATGCCGAGAAAGGGCCACAAGTGCCACCAGCACTGCATCGTGTGCTGAAGTGGAAACTAAGCCCAGTAATGCCGAAAATTGTGAAACGCGTGGTACTTAACTCAGGTTTTCGTATTATAAAAAGTGAGTGTGTGAAATTTTAGGTTATTACAGTTTTGAGAAGAACTTAATTTTTAATTTATTTATTTGCGCAGACACCACCGATTGGATGGCCATTTGGGAGAAGCATATGAAAAGTCCAGGTTTTCGCACAATACGCTCGCATCAAAAATACAATCATATGCCGGGTTCTTTTAGAATCGGCCGCAAGGATAGTATGTGGCGCAGCATACACAACAATATGAAGAGATTTGGAAAAAAAGAATTTGGTTTCATGCAAAAGTAAGTGAATGTTGTTGAAGCGGCAGCTCTTCATTAAGTAGCTTAGGTGAGCAACTGCCTATTGTTGCCCGTAGGGTGCTGCAGAAACTTAGCAAACCTATGCAAATGCTGTTCTGTTTAATCTGTAGCTTCGTCTACTGCACCCTTCACATGTGCGGCAAAATTTAGAACCGGTCGGCAAATCACCTCAAGCACTGTCTGCAATCGATTTAACAACATCTTTGGTCACGATGAGATTATGGGCACTTATTAAATATCGCAGCTCTTAAGACAAATGCAACCTAACACTGGGGAGGAAAAGCCCACAAGAGGCCGGCCAATAGCGACTGAGGTCTTGACCGAATGACTGCCTACCACACATATAGCCACAAGGACATGGTCCCTTCTGGTTGAGGCCGTCTGGTGTGGATGTGTGTCTTTGGAAAACCATGCTGATGTAAGGCTGGGCGCAAGTGCCGGATAATTCAGGAGAAGAATAGTGCTTTTAGTGTATGCACTGGTGAGAGAATAGTGCCTGGTTTGGCTGTTGTTGTTGTTGTAGCAGCATACAAATTCCCCAAAGACTTTTAGGGGAGTGTTGCTGGAGTGACAGTCCTTGGCCAGATATAAATCTGGGTCGTTCCGGTTACGTAGACCCGACTGTCGTGGGAACGTGCCTAGTTTGGCGTTCTTCGTCGGTTTCTGTATAGGCATCACTTCCCTTTGCGAAGATGTGTGTCGCTATGCATAGGTTGGGGAGTGCAGTGAGATAAGATTTTCCAGTATAAGCAACCAGGTCGACCCGAAAGGACCATCAACGCACTGCATAACAATATCTCAATATAACTTTTTGTATTAAAAACATATACATTACAAAAACTTAACCGTGCCTTCTTTTGACTTCAAGATCGTATGTTATGCCTGATGATTTGGAAAGCTTACGCCAAGTTTGGCCCAAAAATGCTTCGATGCTAACAAAATGGATTGTGAAACCGCCAGCAAGCGCACGCGGTACTGGCATACGTATTGTAAATAAATGGAGCCAATTTCCAAAGGATCGACCACTGGTAGTGCAGAAGTGAGTGTGTGTGTGTGCCTAATTTTAGCACCAATCAGCGTTTTACATGCATTTGTAATTTGTATGCTTATCCAAATTCTTAATTTTAGATATATTGAGCGTCCACTACTTATCAACGATAGTAAATTTGATATGCGTATATATGTGCTAGTTACATCGATAAATCCTTTGCGTATCTATATGTACAAAGATGGTTTGGCGCGTTTTGCATCAGGTGAGTGCGCTATTATTTGAGTAAAATGTAGATTTAAAGAAATTTTGGCACTTTTTATGAACAGTTAAATACAGTTCGGAGCTCACTAGTCTCGATGATCGTTGCATGCATCTCACCAATTATAGTATAAATAAATTCTCACAAAACTATTCGAAAAATGAGGATTTTAATGCTTGTCAAGGCCATAAATGGACGTTGCAATCGCTGTGGTCATGCCTAGAAACGCGCGGTGTAAATACAAAACGTCTATGGGCGACGCTGCGCAATTTGGTGATCAAAGCAATCGTTAGCGGAGAATCAGGACTGAATCGCATGTATCGACAAAATGTTAATTTTCGTTATAATTGTTTTGAGTTGTTTGGTTTCGATGTGTTGCTGGACGAGAATCTTGTACCATGGTTGTTGGAAATAAATATATCACCCTCCTTACACTCAGAGCTGCCGTTGGATTTGCATGTGAAAGGACCACTCTTACAAGCCGTTATGAATACAGCGCTCTATCAGGTGGGTTAATTTGCATTGCATATACTGCTTTGCTTGGCTAGTCGCTTAACCAAACGTTTCTCACTTGCAGGTGCCACCAAAACTTAATGAAAAACAACAAAAAGAAATATTACATGAATTGAACCTACAAGGTCCTCTCTGTCATGATAAGCGTATATTCACCACATGTCTCACTGCCGAAGAAGTGCGAAAACACAATCAGTTCACCAATCGTACAATTGAATTTCGTGAGGAATATCTCGATTCCATACTCGATAATCTACTGCCAGACGATATACGCTGCCTAATCATCACCGAGGATGAGTATGCGCGTTGTGCGCCACTTGAACGCATCTTTCCAACAGCCGATACGCACACCTACCTTAAGTTTATCGATAATCCACGTTATTATAATCGGCTGTTAGATGCGTGGGAAACACGTTATGGCAATTTCCGTGAACAGGGTATTGCATTACTGAAGGGCTACTGCGTTGATGGTTACCATTTAAATGTGTCGGATGCGGCTTTAGAAAAGGTGAGTTAGATTGAACGCTGAAGTGGAGTAAGAAGTTTTTAAGTTAATATTTTTTTTTTGCTGTTTTATAGGAACCTGATGTGGCTTTAACCGAAATTGATATGTTGCATCAGAAGAAGAGCGACGATCAAGTTACACTTGTACCCGATGGTGCGCATGCGGATAGCGCTTTAGCTTCAAAAGCGGGCACACCTGACTCAACCGCGGATGTTTCCGTGCGTTCGCAACGCTAAATAGCCGCATGCTCAGTGGCATGTCGTTGATGGTGACTGCCAAACACCACTTTGGTTGTATTGGCAGTGAGCGCAAGGGTGAGTGGAAATTATTTTTTTAAATACTTTGCACATAAAGAGTGATTCAAGAGCAAGTTTTTTTTGCATAAAATCGAAAATGTATAAAAATCGATTTGATGAAAGGCATATGAATTCTACCACCAAGGGGCTATGCAGACCTTTTTACCCCAGAGATGGTATGAAGAAAGTAGTTACTTTAAGAAGAAAATTTAAAACTGAGCACTGCAGAAGTAAGGCTGCGTTTTCGGTAAGCGGAAGAGTAGATCCAAACACTATCCGAGGGGAGCTCAGGAAAGAGATGACGGCTCAGCACCACTGACGAAATATATACTTCTAATTAACCTCCATAAAGATAAACCGAGGATTTTCACAGCCATTCTTTGGGGCTCTGCCGACTAACAGGACATCTGCATGGTTTGGAATTCTGGCCAGATGATCTTTGTCGATTTTGTAACTCACCTGCTTATTGAGTGTGTGGCCGTTTCGGGAGCTCCAGAGAAGAGTCTGCTTTAGGTGGCCAAAAGATTAGGCGAAGTGTTGGGACGAATAGAGTACACTATAGATCTGTTAGGTCGCAGTGCGTGTTGGTTATTATTATCTACACATCTATGTAAGATGCTCGCACCAGACTTCTTATACCATGTTTTATGTTCCGAGATGTTAAAAGCTAAAAGTATTGATTTATTTTAAGTCTTGAAGGAAAACTTGTGCTTGTACCACGCTGTATGTGTATTTATTTATCTTTTTTTTTAATTTTCGCTAAATAAAAATTTACTCTATTCATTCCAGCTGCTGTGAGAGTAAGGAACTAAGACTGAACTTAGCTATCCAACAAACAAAACAACCTAAATGAAAAGTATGAACACAAGAAACGCAACAAAAGCAACCATAAATTTATGATTTAATCGATGAATGATGATCAAGCTAACAAATTGAAGTCATTGAAATTTAGTAAATTTTTTTTTGGAAAATGTCTTAGGAAACAACGCGCTTTATTAAGTACTACAACAATACAACTTACCTTTAACGACACAAAAAAAAAANACCAAAAAAAAAACCTAAAAAAGAAAGAGTCGAAACGAGCAGAAGGTAAGCACGAATTTATTATAGAGCATTGTGTGCATGTATGTATGTATTTAAATGCGCCATAAATTATTACTAAAAATGATGATGATTTTGATTTTGTTTGTTTCATTTCAATTAAAAATAAAAATCAGAAAAGAAAGAAAAAAAGCGCTAACTAGAGAAGAGGGCTGGCAGCATACCAACAACCGGCAATACTTTGTTGTGATTATTATAATTTGCATACCTTTTGCGCAGCATAAGCGGCTAAATTTAAATATTACAACTGCTGGACATTATTACTACCTCAATCATCTCGAAACACAGACAGCAATTGCAGTACATACATGTGTATATACGTATTCTCATCGACATATTTCATCATTTGTTCATCACCTCAAAATAATTGGCACCATAAAAGTTCTGTAAAGCTGCTGTACAGTTTGTGTAGAAAAAATGCATTCAGCCGGTTCTACTACAATCCACTGCACTGAATACATACTCTTTTGTTCAGATACAGCATTGCATTTTTGATATCATCGAAAAGGCTCGAAATGCGCACACACACTCATTCATATCCAATATTAAACTACATACATACATACATATGTGGACATTGCCAAGCGCATTTACAGAGCGCATCTACACTCACCTTGAGGCTTCATTTGTTCATGTAAGTTTTTAAAGTATTACATACATATTTACATATACTATAAAGGCTCCTATTTAGAAAATGCATGCCAATCTATTCAGTGAGTAATTCAATGAGTAATTCACTCTTTAATTATTTTGATGAAAGTCTTATATGTAAGGTACTATTAAATCTAGCAGGCCTATCATCAATTCCGTCGGAAATCGCTATCATGAATTCCGTGGTGATCACGAAATTCTCCCACAAGTTCGAAATTCGTGAGAATGGTATCGCTGATTTCGAGTTATTTTATTTTGATTTATTTTATTTTGATTTAGAATTATTAAACCAAACAACCTTAAAAACAAACAAAACCCAAAGGCAAGACCAAGAAAAATCTCACCAACTTTGGCAGAAAAGCCCAAAAACGGGAGTGTTGGCTACTCTAATCGAATTTATCTTGCTAAGCTTAGCGCTAGATGGCGCCCATTTAATTCAATTTCCGCCACATTAGGTTGCAGTCTGAACTAAATTTTATAGTGGCGGCAAAGCGGACAAGCGCCTTTATTGTAAATTGAGTTTAAATTGTGGATTTTCAAAAATTACTGCATTACTACAAAAAATGTATTTAAGAAGAGTCTTACAATATCTAAAGCTTAGGCTGCTTTAAAGTAATTGTTAGTTACTTTAAAAGAAATTTGTATGTACCTATGTACAAAACTCCAACTTACATAAATTTTTAAAATTTACATACATATATTAGTGTGCATCACTCTCCATACAAAAAAAAAAAAAAAAAAAAAAAATT